GGTTACAAGCCTATACAAACGTATACACAGACACCGTGTATCCATTCCTGAGACAAGGCAGTCTGCTGCAAAACAGAAGTTCTGCCCAGCATGAGAACAGATACAGATTTAAAAGGAAGAGCAGCAAAGAGAAGGGAAACTACCATGGATTACAGTAAGGCACACATTACAGTATTGTTTTATGTTAAAAAATCTGAGGGGTTAATGTCACTTTAAGGTTTTCTGACTCTGAGCTCATGTTCTCTGGCCATCTTATGATGTCTCATTATGTTGACTTTGGTTTCCCCAGGCCCTAGGAGATACCAAACATCATGCTAAACAGCAGCCCCCTTACTGGTCACTCCATTACTACCGTAGAGGTCAAGATGAGGACCAGCAGGATTACTGGAGCAGAAAATTCATCTGAGCTGTTGCTTTGTGTGTGGGAAAGAGGACTGCGAGCGGTGCAATTAAAAATCATAGAAAGGGGAAAAAAACTACGGTATATTATTTCCTTTCTCATTTTATTTTAAATTAACAACTTGTTCTATTAAATATTCCACAGGTATAGGAAAAGGTTGTATACGCCTAACTACACAATTTTAGTGAACACAGAAGTGTGACACCACAGTTTAGTTGAACCTTTGTGTTTGTATCGGACAGCGAGTACTAGGCTGCAGCAAAAGGCAGAATAAGAACATTAATGTGGCAATCAAAGCTAATTTGTTTTCCTGTTTTACAATGAATTCTACCTTACCTTCATTATTGTTCTGCAGCCAGCATTACTGACATATCGGACATTGACACGTTTTAAAGTAATATTAACCCCTTTATGACTGAGGCCCTTTTTTCATTTTTTGCACCCATGTTATATTCCACATTTTAGGCCTGAAAATGACTTAAAACCCCCCAACATTATATATTTTCTACTTTTTTCAATACTGAATCCAGATCAAACAAATAAACATTGCAAATAGCTGCTCCAACTCTGTCAGCTCAGCTTCCAATCTTCCTGTCCAGAACAAGATCATAAGGGTCAGCACATTCTCCAGTAGCTGTCCATCTACTAGCTTGGAGAAGCAGTGAGGAGGGAAATGTCTTGCCTTGCTGTGCCTCTATGTTTGTAAAGACACACAGGTTACCAACACACACAAAGGTGGCAATATAGGACCCTGCAAGAGAAAGGAACCGCCCTAAAATAGGATATCAGGGCCAGTGCTCAGGAGACCAGCTGATTCTGCAGGAAACTAAAACTTTTAAACATCAAGGCGCAGAATCCTTTGTAAGTGATTTCATCAGCATTTCAAATAGCTTTAAAAACCTTTTGACTTTAATATAATTTTAAAGTGTAGCTAAACCCAAAAGCAAAAATATATTGCAGTTTGCCAGTCCTTAAATGTGGTGGCTGCATTCGTTTTCTTTTTAGGCTTTTTCCCTTTATTTTCACCTGGTGATCCTATAAGTACGTCGGTTATTCTTCAATTCCCTTTAGCAGACCAAGCTATCCAGCAAAATCTGCAGTTAGAGGGTTGAGACAAACCATTTAACATTGACATCTTTAAAAGGAGGACTATGGGGTTAAGGCTTTTCCCCATAGTTCTCCTTAGGGTAACGGGAGGACACAAACTAGCGTCCTCCCGTCACACTAGGCTCAGTATACCGCGAGCTGTAGCTGGCGGTATACTGAGACGCCACGGTATACCGCGAGCTGCTGCTCGCGGTATACTAAGACGCCGCAGCTGAAGCGGATCCCGACAATTATGTCTGGATCCGCCCAGCTGCGTGACTGACAGCTGGCTCTGCCTACCTAGAGGCAGAGCCAGCTGTACCCGCCCCCTCCCCCGTCCGTTCCGCAAGTCAGCGCTGGCGGATCGGGGAAGGGGGAATCCAGCCCCTCCCCTGTCACGGCAGAGAGCTGTGACAGGATCGAGAGGTGAGCGAACGCCGGTATGTGTTCGCTCACCTCCCGATCTACTGAGCCGACCTGTGACAGTCTCATTGTCACAGGTCGGCTAGAACTATGAGGTGAGTGAAAAGCACTCACCTCATAGTTCTCCTTTAATTACCCATTGTTTATCTTTAAGATCATTTTTTAGAATGTCTTTTTATTGAGTTTTGAAAAAGAGAAAAGCTGGGGAATTCAACGGAACTGAAAGCAATAGCTTAGAAATTAGGTCATGAGAAATATAAACATTATGACATATATACTGTGTGAGTAAAGCGAGAAGCCTAGTAGTGCCATTAAAAAACGAATTCTGGAAGAACCTATAGTAATGATTTCCTAGAATGTTCTGATACTTTCTGTTCACAGTACATGAAATACAAGTTTTATGAAATACCGCTCCTTCAAAAAAAGAGATTCATTTATGATACACTGTACAGGTTGGATCAGTGAGGCTGAAAGTTCAAGCCTGAAGTTTCATTCAAGTTCTTGTCTCCCCCTGCTGGTGAATAGGATACATGTCTGGGAAAACTTGCAGTTAACAGACCTGTGCATGGTTACATACACCAGATGAAATCAACAAGAAAAAACACAGAGCTGGGCTTTCTTATTAGAAAGCCTAGCAGCTCATCTCTTCCAGAGCTGTACTCCACATCCCATCCGAACTCTTCCAGAGCCCTAAAGCCTAGAGAGTTGTAATATCCTAAATTCCAACTTTAGTTTCTGAAGTCAGACGAGCCTGCTGCTTCCGAACCATTCTATCTCCCTATCTGGAATTTTGGAACTTCTGGAGCTCTCTGGAAATAAATTATGGATACATGAAGACACCCAGAAAAACTTGTTCTACAGTCTGGGAACATGTTAACTAGGGATGTTCAGATACCAGTGCAGATACTTGGCATTTTCATGAGAACTCCCAGGGTTGCAGAGGTTGCAGCCGGGACTAGGCCCTGGCACTCCACCACTGCCCTGAAATCATTAGTCTGTATTGTTTTAGAAAAACTGTCACATGACCTTAAACAAAAATGTATCAGTACTTGTATCTGTGAGTACTTGGACAAGTATCATACTTGTACTGGAAAAATGTTATCGGTGCATCCCTAATATATTGTTAAAAATCATACAATAAAACAGATGTACAAATCCCGGGAGCTCAGTGTGCTCCTTACAAATTAGAGCTGCCTCCTAACTTTTACATTTTTCTCTAGTCTAGTCTAGAGCTGGAAAAGTATCTGTTCTTGTACCGAGTACTGTACTTGGTATCTGAACATCCCTAATGTTAACCAGTCTTCCAGAGGACCCAGGTTTGTTTTAATACACACAGTGGTTAGCACTTCTGCCTTGCAGCACTGGGATCCCTGGTTTGATTTCTGGTCAGGACACTATCTGCATGGAGTCTGAATGTTCCATCTGTGCTTGCGTGGGTATACTCCAGTCTCTTCCCACACTCCAAAGACATAGTAGGTTAATTGGCTCTTGTCTAAATTGGTGTGTGTCTGTGTGATAGGGACCTTAGGTTATAAACTCCTTCAGGGCAAGGACTGATGTGAATGTGCACTGCAAAGCACTGCATAAATGTACAACGCTATATAAATACATTAATAAATGCATTCAGTATGAGCACAGGTACACTTTAAACAAGAGGCTTAATGACAATTGTTAGTCACACTGGGAAAAGAGTGCCCGCTAATCAAGTTTATAGTAATGGAGTCTGATAAAAGGAATGCTAGACTTGTTCATATTTGAACCCCTAGGTAGAGAAGTGATTTATTTTCAAGAAAACAGTATACTCCTCCAGCCTCAAGATAACCTTGGTTATTGTAAAAAAAAAAAAAGGGGCTGTTAGGGGAGTGCTGGTCCCGGTAGTACAGTATGTGGTTTGATCTCAGGAGGTAGCTCCCTATCATATATGATTGTGCAGCATAAAATACGTGTAAATGCCGGTAGCTGCGTTTACACACGCATGCATATGGGTGTGAATTTAATGCAAAACATCCATGTTCGGGAATTTATGCCCATGAGCATGCACATGTAAGCACAAGTACTGGCATTTACGCATATATACCCGCATACAGGGTATTCTGTCAATATATTACTATTGCAACAAAACTGATTCTAGAAGTTGTTTCCGATAGTACGCAAAGTTGCTGAGAATATTTTACACGCAACAAATGGTTTTGTTGCTTAACATGCACATTTTTTCCACATGTTCACTGATCCGAAAACAGCAAACAGGCTTGGTTCATAAAGAGCACTTAAAGCTTTGACTGAAGAACAGCTTTGTGTACCACCAACGTATGGAACATTGTCTAATATTAGACAGGTTGTTACAGCACTGTGTCTGCCAGATAAAACAATAGGTTGCTATAAGTTTTCTGCACTCTCTTGTGAGTGTGAGCTTCATGACCATATCACATAATTCGAATAGACACCTGACAAATGAAATTCAAAACATTACATGTTAAAAACAATACCTGTTAAACATTTATTACAATTGAATTTAATAGACTAGACGTGGTGCAAAAATTCCATACTGTAGATAAAGTTTAAAAGGCTAACTAGACGTTTTGGTCAAAAGTTTGTGGTCACCCAACCGTTATACTTATATGAGCTTGTTGGACATCCAATTCCAAAACCATGGGCATCAATATGGAGTTGATATTTCTCAGCCTTGTGAAGTCAAGTAATGATATTGACCAAGAAGACCTGGCTCACAATTCATCTGAAAGGTGTTCCACAACATTGAAATCAGGGCTCAGTGTAGGCCCCTCCGCTTTCTTCACACCAAATTAATCTAACAATGTCTAATAGGACCTGGCTTTGTGTACAGGCGCAAAGTCACTTTGGAAGGATATGCAATGCTTGTGCCCCATCTCAGAGTAAAGGATATGCAATGCTTGTGCCCCATCTCAGAGTAAAGGATATGCAATGCTTGTGCCCCATCTCAGAGTAAAGGACATGCAATGCTGTATGTATTCACTCTTATGCCTCATCATATGGCTCCATAAAACAGCCTCAACACAAATAACAGTAGATGTCTAAAGCTAGAGACTACACAGATAAAATGGAACACCTTTTATTAATCATTTATTGTAATCTCTTAAAGTAGTGGTCAAAAGGTCCAGTTTAATTTACAACATTATTTAAAACACAAAGAATTTCCTAAACTACATAAAAATTTTCCATGTCATTCTTTCTCTTGTAGCTGCTCAATTGGAAGCTTGAGTTTTAGAGGATTCTGCAGACGTCTTAAACTTTCTTCCGTCTAGGGAGGGGAAAAAAACATATATTAAAATGTCAGCAAATGTACAGACATGAGATACATAGTGAGCAAGTCCAGACAGACAGACGGAATATAAACTTCTTAAAAACTATACCTGCGAAGGGTTGCTGTCGGGATTGATGGCTATGCCCGGATCAAACACCCTCCACCATGTTACAATAACTGTACCTCCTCATGACAAATCTGACATTTTATGAAAGGGCAAAGAAATTCTAAATGCTTTGTTTTTGCAATGTGCAGGGTGGTCCATCTGCTACGGTTTACATTTACCTACAATCGACCATGGGATTGCTTACATCTAACATTCCACTGTTTTTACACTGTTACCGAGGCTGGTAAACTAGGTGGAAAGACAGCCAGCTTCTTGTAATTGGTCTTACACTAGTATCAGGAAATATTTATTAACTCCTGGAGTGTTCAGAAGGAACTGGTTCTTCATAATGAAAAATCCACTATATAAATGTAGCAAATGTACACTGATATACAAGCTGTACACTCACTACTTTACATTGTAGCAAAGTGTCATTTCTTCTGTGTCGTCACATGACATGATATCATAAAATATTTACAAACATGTGAGGGGTGTACTCACTTCTGTGAGATACTTTATGTTCCTGAAGCTGCCCCCAAGTATGAGATGACTGTTGCCAGATCCCACCAGGATGGGTGTCGATCTCATGCCTGTAGGGGCAGTCAGGTGATTGCTGACCAAATATTATTTAGGAGGAACATACACATAAAAGAAGACCTGGGATAGGTGGGGCTAACAGCATCCGTCAGTGCTCCCCAACCCATCTATTTACATAAACAGCATTAAGCTGAACACTAAGGGTAATCAATGTATCTAGATTGTGGTTCCAGGGACTCTCATTTATACCCCATACTACAGTGGCCTCACAGCTTCCACTTAGTGTCACCCAGGTAAAGTCAATACCTCTGCCAGTTGATTCCTCAGCTGATTGTATCGGTCTACATCAAAGTGCTGCTTCTTGGCTCTTTTGTAGAAGAAATGCAGGAACTCACGGTCTCTTGCATCTGGATAAACATAGTCCTGTCAAAGAGAGACAGTATTGGTTTATATATTCATACAAAAAGTAAACAGACCATAAAAAATGATGACAATGGGTTTTACATTTGAAATCAAATTACATTAATGTTTTCACATTATTAGCCTCACCTAGACTGCACAAGTAAAAGTTTAAGTACATATGTGATACCATCTGCTTTTGTTTTATTGTGCACTTGTGTTCTAAGTACTTTCTTGTATCCTATTGAATGTGTTTTACTGGACACAATTACAGTTGTGTATTCTGTAACTAAAGTAGTTTTCTTAGTATTGTCTGTTACATTATTACTTACTTAAAGCAAACCTGTGAAAAGAGAACTATGCGAGCTGCCACTGCATTTTGAAAATGCTAGTTGCTTAGTTAAGCTAAATTGCGGATTTCAATCCTTTCTAAGTCACAGGTCTGGAACAAGTATGCAGATTAGGTAAGTCAGAGAAAAGTCCCAAGTCCGAAGCTGAATATGTGTTTCGGGCTCAAAATAGTAAGAGGGTTAGTATGGCGGCCAAAAAAAAAAAATCATTTTCAGACGGAGAGGTCAGCAATGGCAGCCTACATTGTGGCTCCTGACAGTTCTCCTTTAAGCCCCCTCTTACGCATACGGAGTCCTGAGATATGGCTATGCACAGCTCAGAAAGCACAACAGCTCATCAGAGCAGTGGAAGCATCTCATGAGGCTCAGGGAGATTTTTGGTGACTGAACTGTTTTCCTTTTCCTTGTAGAAAATGAAGCATTTGTTTTTTTGCACATGCAACCACTGCTTGATGTAGTATACCTAGGCCTACAATGTGGTTATATGCAATATGAATCCATATCACAAAGTGTATTGTACTGGATTCCAAATATACAAGTTAATAGCATAGTTACCAGTTTTGTTGTGGCTGACTGTTAAGCAACTTTATCATTTCATTTATTATAATTTGGGGGGTAAGGTTAACTGCAGTTAAAAAAGGGTCAATTAATTAGTGGATGACAGACTAGACTAGCAAACCCCTGATGGAGAATAAATGCTGGTTCAGAACTGGTTGTCCTGCAGCACCCAGAATTCTTAGTAAACAGGCAGCGACTCTATCCTACCCACCTCTGTCCATTCCTTTAAGGCAACTGTTATGTGTATAGGCATGGTTTGTAACATGCTGGCTCACATTGAGATACTGTATATACAGTACATCACATGCCTAACCTCTCAATATCCTAATTGCATGTTTGTGATGGTGAGAGGAAAACAGAGCTTCGGCCTAGTTACTCAGGGCTCCATACACCAAAATCCTCCATGCCAGACATTTACTGAATTGGTTGATTTTTGATAGCTATATGTGTTTTAGTTAGAAACTGAAACATTTGTGGTGCTTCAGTTTCCAATACTAAGCTGAATCCATCTCACATGAGTTAAGCATGGGTCTAAAAACAGGTAACTTAAGGAACAACCAGCACTCAAAAACACATTCTCAGTCAACTCTTTTTGGAGATGGCACAGTTACCAAACCAGAGACCTGGGTCTATGCAAAGTCATTGCCATTTGGTATGCAGGAGGCATGCCTATGCTCACATTTTTGGAAATGGAGTATTTGTTGAGGCATTTTTTTAGCCAGCCAGCAAACGAAGAGGTACACTGTGTCTTGGCACCTCACACACTTGTTATTCTACCAGTGTGGTGATTTCAAGTGTTTCTATGACAACAACATACCAACCATGAAAGACTTTACATGCACTTTATGTTGCAGAAACAATAAAATCATATCCATGTGCGTCTATTATTCCTCACACAAATAAACATTAATATAAAAATTTGACCTTAAAAAAAATTAAACAGTGCACTGCTATTTTCCTTTCTGGTCCAAATAATAGCAAACTGATGATGTAAAGGTTATCTTGTTCCCTCTTTTCTCTTTCCCTAGCCTCTCTATCCTCGCTCTTCTTCTGCCTTTTATCCCCTCTCTGTCTTCTTATCTTGCCATCTGTTATTGTTTCACTTACTAAAAATATAGAAAAGCCAATTGGGGGTCAAGATGCCTCTGTAAAAGGTATTTAAGGCACTGCAATATCTATTTAATTTGTACATTCTTGTTCATCACACACACTTGAACTGCAATTAATGGCACATCTTAGCCTGATTGCATTCATATTTCCTGTATATAGAAGACAAAATGATTCTTTAATAACACAGTACAAAGGTGAATGAAGTGCAGTCATTTTAGAAACATGGATTCAAGGCCGTTTGACACTAGGCAACGTAGGCCCACTTGTTCCAGACTCCTTTTCAATAAACTGAAGCTTTCTATCACTGCTTCTACAGATAACCGATCATTGCAAGTAGAGTGCCCATGTTCATGCTGAACTGGACAATTCCTAACAACTGGCATGAAACTATGTTCAACGGTGCCTTTGAACATGATAGCAATGCTGGCCATTAGGTTTAAATACTCTCTGCAAACCTTTGGGCAAACCAAAAAAGTACCCTTGATGTGGGGCTATCCCCGCATTTCAAGAGTTAAGTGCTTGTTTATGCCTGGGAGACCTGTATAAAGGATTTTTACTTACCTAATCGCCCACTCCACCAGCAGTCAGCGCTGTTCTCCTCTTCTCCTCCTCCAGGGGCAAGTGTGTGAGGACTGGTCTAGCATCTCTGAGGGAGCCAGCAGGAATAGGGATGAGGTAAGTAAAGGTGCATAGCCAAAAGGAAGCACTTACCCTTGAGGGGGTAGCCCCACTGCAAGGGATGTTTTGGTTTGCCTGGTGATGGGCTTTAGGAAAACCCCAAAGCAGTCTTAAACTTTGCAAATGGATCTTGAGTGCTCCCTGAGCACCTATCTATGCAAACCCCAATAACTATACCAAATTAGTGTAATCAGAGCATTCAAACCTGATCTATGGAGTGTGAAAGTCATAAACCTTTGAACTGTATCATACTATTACACCAGGTCAGTTCTTTAAGCATTCTACTCACCATGTTGGTTAGAATGTAGTATGCACCGAAGGCAATGGCATTTCCATATGTAAGGAAATATGTAACAGGCTCCATGATATCCCAGGAGTAAACCCACCAGGTGAGATAGCCTAAAGCTCCTCCCTGTGTAGACAGAATTGCCAGTCCAGTCCACAAAAGAATCTTAGTCCTGGCCTCTGATTTAGCCATTATATGTAACTTAATCTACAGAAACAGAACAGAAAAAAAGATTAGCAGTGTATGTGATATATATTCCATCTAATATCTTCCAATTGGTAAGTGCATAGGCAGTTCTGTAGACCATGCTGTATTCTGTGGCAGTTGCATCATGGTCACAACGGTCTTACAATTCATGTGGTGTGGATAAGCACTAATAACCATACTGTTGGACTGTTATGGAATTTTTAGGACACTTTTGTTACACATTACATACTTATTCTTGATTCATTTGTTCTCGTTTTGTATTTTAATTCACCTATAAAGTGTTGTGATTTGGGTGTTGGGGAGCTCTGTAAAATCCTTTAGAGCAGGGGTCTCAAACTCAATTTAGTCGGGGGCCACTGGACACATTTTTTAGTCCCGTGGGGGCCGCTGCTATATACGTACCAGTTTTAATGTCTTTACATGTTACAAGAGGCAACTGTCACCGATTCAAATTAATGATCAGGTGACAGCTGCCGCATGTAAACACCTACATACCGCATGTAATCATATGTGAAAGGATTACATGCAGTTAGGAATCAATCACTCTCCCTGGATACACGATTGTTTATCCAGGGATAGTGATTGTTTTTGTAACTGCATGTAATCATATCACATACAGTTACATGCGGTATGCAGGCGTGTACATGCAGCGGCTGTGACCTGATCATTAACTTAAATGGGTGACAGTTGCTGCATGTAAACGCCAGAGTAGGGATTCCTGCTGCAGAAAAAAAGCAAGTTTGTGACACAGGAATCCCTAATCGCACCTGAAATATAGGGGACTCCCCCCCATTCCAATTCCCCTGCACACATAATACACTCCCTCCCCCCCACACACACATAATACACTTCACCCCCCCTTCCAAGCCCCCCGCACACATTTAATACACTGC